CAAAATTCATATTTCCTTCAACCATGGAACGTCCAGATAAATACACACAGTGGCAGTCATACACGAAGGGATTGAGACGACGGAACACTCTTTATGCTTCTGCCATGCCTTTGCAAGGATTGAGGCTATTGACAGCCATATGTTGAGAGACGAACACCAGAGGTCTTTAACATCCAACAAACGTTCAGATTTTTTTCGAATTTCGAATATGGTACAAGTGTTAGCTCGACAAACCAGTTAAGCGCAGGAAAGGACATTTTTTTTTGGTTCCGTCTCAATATTCTATGAAGCTTTTAATAAAATGTTCAGATAGATTTTCGCATCATCCCATCTCTGGTTCTATCGCCAGCGCTCCTATCCACGTCCATTTGTAGGGATTTGAATTTTTATTATTATTATTTTTTTTTTTAATCTGTTTTATGGTGCTACTTTTTATTTTTGGATAGTTAATTCCTCTTCAACGATGCCGGTAATGAGCGGATAAAATTGTTGATGCAAAGGAAAAGGAATTTTGTGTAAACTTTTACGCTAAAAATTTATTTTGAGAAAGTTCTTGTAACAATTTTTATCCACACTTTATCAAGCGACTCAATGCTCTGGCTTCCTACGTAGCGGTTCTTTTATCGTGTTGGTTAAGAATATTTTATTTTTGGAATTCACTTAATATTCGGATTTATTTTATTTTTTCATTTTCGTGCAACCGCTTGACCTAGAAATGACAACACTTGTTTGACGGCTACCTCGTTTGTGTGGTAAATGCCTGTGGTCACATTTATAAACGTTTCACATGCTTAAACCAACCTACACGTAATATCTGCTATGTACATGGCAAGAGGAAACGAAATGTATGTACTTATGTATGATGGGAGGGGCTTTCTGGGAAGCGAGGTAACAAAGTGTCTGGCGACACAACAGGTTTTTTGACATAGGCGCCGCCGCAAATGCCTTAGAGTTGCTGTTGTTGTTGTTGGCTAAAAATTAGCAGCAACTTGCCAATAAAGTTGAATGTATTGAATTTTTTTACACGTTCGCACAAATTTCGTAAATTCTTCCTCTAACTATGCTGTTGCAATTTCGAGAAGTAGTTCACCGCAAAAATGAAAACTGATAAAAAAACGTCCAAAAAAACCAACTGGCATACCGGTGTTTGAGATTAAGTACTGATGGCGAAACAGGTTCCCGGGACTCCATTTAATTTTATGGAATGGGAATGACCTCATTAAATTAAGCTTTTATAGTTATAATATGTTGCTCTTTATTTTTAAGGTTTTGATGAAAAATTAGGGAGTTAGTCATTTTTCGAGATTTTCGCGGATTTTTTTGTGTGATTTTCTCGGGATTTTTGGAAACTTTTCGGAGCAGCTTTAGTGTACACTTAAACTTAAAATATGCCTTTCATGAATGCTAAAGAAAAACGGGGCAGGTAAATAAGTCAGTGACTTTCTTAACTTCTAAATTTAAATGCAACACTAATCGGTTTATTATTATTTTTTATTTTTGTCGGAACCAGGCACAAAACAACACTCAGGCTAGTTTGAAAGTAGTTAGAGGGCTTGCTAGTGCCTGGCTATCACTGCAGATACATAAACCCATTCCCCTTCGCCTTGCTTTGGAGGTCTTGTGTTCCACGTGAGATTTCCACGATAGTTTTGTATCCAGAATTACTCCTAGATACTTCACTTCGGGACAAGTCTGAGTTGTGACTTCTCTAAGTATGCAGGGAATGAGACCATCCAACCTCTCCTTCTAGTGAAGTGCACAATAAAAGTTTTGGTTGGGTTAGCGGTGGGCCCATTTCCATCACACCAATTGTCAATCAAACGCAGTATTGTTTGCGCTTTCCTGGAAACAGCCGGCAGCGAGGGGCCACTGACTAGACGTCCGCATAGGCTTGACCGTAGATATCAGAGTCATTAAGTGCCGGTTACTCAATGTCTGGTTAACACTAACCACAGGTTAAACATAGTTATCGACGTAACCGACTCCCTGTTGTATGCATGGAATCGAAGACGTCGATAACAATGTTTAACCGCAGATAAGTGTTAACCAGATATTGAGTAAACGGCCCTAAGAGTGACAAGAAGATAATCAAATACTAGGCACCATAGCAAAGCACACCACGCTGAGGGCATCATGCCGTAAAGCAGAATTGCACATGCTATCAAAGGTGGCACCCTCAATGTCTACAAAAATGCCCAAGAAGAATTCTTTCCTATTGATGGCATAGCTAATTCCGGCTACCAAATTTTGAAAAGCCGTCTCAAATCTGTTAATAATATATTATGTATACAATTTAGAGAAAGCGAATGAAAGCAGGCAATTTCGTTGATTCAATTAAACTAAAAAAAAAAAAAATCGCACGCCAAAAACCCCAGCTTCCGATTAAGAGCCTTGACTACTTTCTGATTCTGAATAAATGGCTCAACGATAAGAGGTTTGGGTTATTACTAAAATAACCCTATTTTGAGGACCTTGAGGAATATTATAATTTGAAAAACCCCTATACTAAATAACTCGAATTACATTAAACACGAGAATGTTGACAAATAAAACGCTTTTTTACCGAAAAAAGACACTGCCTTTTTCAACTGCATTTGTAAAAAGTAAAAGTTACTAGTAATTTTAGCCTAGAAAAATATAGCGAGCCAATTTTATTATTTTTTGCTCGAAATATTTAATGTCTATAGAAAGGTGCTAGAATGACGAAAAGTACTGTTAATTTATAAATAAGTTCCTTCATTGAGTTGACTTACGAAATTTTCAAATCTGTTTAAATACCCGCAGTTGAGTGTTATGAGTTGAGTTACATAAGAGAACATAAAAAGTGATCACGAGAGAAAAATTGCCGGGTTCATGATTTTTTTTCATAATACTTTCACTTTCGGTGCATCACATCATATTACATATGAAGAGGATAGGCAATTTTAATACTTTCACGTTTAGAACGAGAGAACTTAAGCGTCGCACAGAGGAATATTTGTATTATAAAACCATTTCGCAACGTGATTTCTTTCGACCGACCTGATCTAAAATATTTATGATTTTTACTTTAATTGCACTTATTTAAACGATTATTGCAGCCTGCATGATTGGCTAAATTTGTTCTTGCCATGATTATTTTAATGCCTTTGTTCGCTTAAGTGTCGACCAGTCTTTTCATTATTTGCTTGTTTTCTTAACTTTTATCTCGGTTTTCTTGCGGAACGAGCTTACTAAATACCTGTTAAATCGCGCAAATAATGTGCATGCACATTAGGGTTGTCCAAAAATGCATGTGAAAAAGTTAAGTCGGAATTTTTATGCTCTTGCCCCCTATGGGGGAAAAACAACTTTTCGTTGAAATGAAATTGAATTCCTGATAATCAATAACTCCGAAAAAACCTCAAAAATGCAATGCAAAGTCGTTAGTATTAATAAAATTTCAAAATAAAATAAATAATTGGATACTATTATTGTAAGTCTTCTGAAGAGAATCAGAGTTTCCCGATCGAAAATATATTTATTTTGAATTACTCTACTCCATTTCTACCAAAAAGTGTTTATCCCCATAAAAAATGTATGCAAAACTTGATTGTTTTTGTATGTATGCTGTACCACATATACCTACGTATTTAGTCGGACTTGGTTTCTTCCAAAATTCACTTACAGTGAAACCCGCTTAAGTACCCCCGCTTAAGTAACCAACATTTTTGGGCACCGTGAATATTTTAATGTAATCTGAAGCAAATCCCTCTCTTAAGTACCTCCCCGCTTATTTACCCAACCCGCCTAAGTACCTAAATTTTTCGTACCCCATTTACCATTTTACTTATAATTTTCCCCTTTTAAGTGCTCGCGCAACACGTTCGGCAAAAAATATATTCAAAAAAAAAATAACGGTAATTTTTAGCCACTTGAAACTTGTACATTATTACACTAAAATTAAAAAGAGGTTACTACTGAAATAGAGATAATTAGGGCATATTTAAATTTATTTCGTTTCCCTCTTTTACATGGAATGACCCTTCTTCATTATACATATACATACTCTCGATATGTGAACGTACCTACATAGACAGTTGTTACCTTTCTTACTTTGTTAATGCATTTACTTTCTTAGTGTTTTCCTAACAGAACATCTACTTCAATAAACACTTTCAGTTTCACTCATACTACCAATCGCCACAAAAGTATTTACAATAGGTACAATGCATATATGTATGTATGTTTACTTCCATAATCTTATCTTATCACCACACCGGCTTCGATAATTGTTAAACCTTATTAAGCAATACATTTTTTATTTCTTATTTACTATTCCTTTGTTCGATTCTTCGTTGCTTGAATGGAAATTTGTTAAGTTGCGTAAAGCCACAATGATGAATGTAATATATACACAAATCAGCTGAAAAGTGTACTGGCAATACATTTGTATTAGAAATGGGCACGGGACAAAAATTTCAATACCGCGGGTCCCGAAATCTATCACTAAGTTTAATTCACATGTCCTTTAAATTAATTTTTAATATGGCATCTTCCGATAATTTTGTTTTTGCTTTACTGTTCGTTTTCGTTTCAATAAAACATAAAAAGTGCTTATTTCATAAAACGTATTTAAGGAAGATTTTCTGAATTTACGCATGTTGTGAAACTTATCGGAAGTGTCGGGAAAGGATTTTGCTCCCGTCCCGCCCGCAAAATTTTTAAACACCTTCCGGATACCGCTCATCCCAGCCATTTTTGCCAATAAGAGGAGTTAAGCCAGCTAAGCTAGCGTGACTACCGCTAATGATTTATTAGGTACACGCTGATAAAAAATAAATTGATAGCTAATCTATAGAACACTAAATGCGTTCACTTTCACTTTTCTATAAGCCTTATCTGAACTATCAATATTATTTAATCAATATCAGTTTAGTTGCTCGTTATTGGTATTATCTTTTAGTGTCTTTCTTTTTTTTTACACATTTTATTCCGACTATTGCTTAATCATTTATGTTTACTTTCATTTTTCATTACAGGTGCTCGGCATTATTTGCATGGCCTGTGGTTCACCCGCCTACATCGCTGCCACGTCATTCTTCCTATTCGTGGTTGTAATCTCGTTCATTGCGACAATTTTATGGATTTTCGCTTATCTTTTGGGTATACGTGAAGCTTTGAATGTTGCCGTCAATTGGATATTCACAGTAAGTTAAAGAAAGCAACTCATACTTAATATGTACACACATATGTATGTGTATACCAATATTATAAAGGGTGGGTCAGATTCAAAAATTTCAAAATTCGCAGAGGCCTTCCTGCTCCTACAATAAAATGGAACTGACTCTTACAGCTGATATCGCAAAGTTAATATCGAAATGTACTTTTGCCACCGAAATTTTGGAAACACACGAAAAAAGAATTCCGGAGAGTTCTCAGCAAAGCACGAAAATACCTGAAAAAGACCTGATTAATGCCGAAAGCCCTCGGAAAAAGCTGCGAAATACTTGAAAAATCCGAATAAGTTACGAAAGGATGCTATAAAATCCCGAAGGAAAATACAGCAGCAAGAAACTACGAAATATATAAAAATCGATAGAGAAATAATCCCGACCAGTCTCGAAAAATTCGGAAAATATTATTCAAGAAATTAAAAAGCAAACAGTTATAAAAAAGAGTTGCGAAAAATATAGAAAATCTCATCATAAACAAGAAAAAAATTCGAAAAATCCCTGGACTGGAACGCGTCCCAAAAATTAACCCGAAAAGTAAAATACGAGGAATACCCACAAGTCTGAACAATTTCAAATAAAAGAAAAATCGTGGAATTTCGAAAAGTCATTTTATTTCATTAGAAAAACCCTGAAAACGACCTGATAAATCCCAAAAAACCCGAAATAATCCCAAAAAACCTTAAAAAAATTCGAACAGTAATAGCTCAGCTATGCATACTTTGCACTGCACTGAACAGACTTCTACATACATATGTAATGCTGTGCTTTGGGTAACCGCTTAAACGCAAAGCTCATTTAACAGATTCCTTATGTGGCAACTCTCATGCAACGCCAAGTATGCATAACAGAGCTTCAAAGAAAAGAGCGCAAAAATCGTAAACGTTCCGAAAAATCTGGAAAAGTTCAAGAAATCCCAAAAGACTTCGAAATAATCAGAAAGAAGATGAAGTCTCGAAAAGTAAAAAAAAACTTGAATATTCTTAACAAAAAAAGAAAACAAACAAATTCGTAGAGCACTGAAAACACAAAAAAAAATACCGAAAAGTATCGAGAAATAAAACAGCAAAAAATCATGAATAAGTCCTGAAACATAGCTTCGAAAAATTCTAAAAAATAAAAAGCGTAAAACATAAAAAAACCACAACAAGGCCTAAAAGTCTCTACAATACCTCGAAAAGTAAAACACGAGGAAACCAGAACAATCCCACAAAACAAGGAAAAATCTTGTATAATCTCGAAGAAAATCGAAATATTTAATTTCATTAGAAAAGCTCCGAAAAAGTCTCGATCAATCCCGAAAGATCTTGAGAAAAATCCCTAGAAGAACTTAAAGAAAATTTACGAAAAGTCCCGAAGGAATTCCATAAAATCGCGTATGCCATTAAAACAGAAAAAAAGCAACGAAAAATATTTCAAGAAATTCAGAAAAATTCGAAAATATTTGAAAATTTCAAAAATATCGAAAAAAGTTTTGAAATATCCCGAAGAAAACGAAAAAATACAGGAAGGTGCAAAAAAATTCTGAAAAACTCTGAACAGTTCAAAAGATCGCGAAACACAACTTAAAGATTCCCCTAAAAATGCCGTAAACCCTCTATTAAATTCCAAACAATCACCAAAACTAAAAAAAACAACAAAATAATTTCGAAAACCCCAACAAAATAAAGAGCAAAAAATTATGAAGTATCGCGACAAAATTCCAATAATCCCAAAAGATTTCGATAAATAAAAAACGAGGAGTTCGGAAAAAATTCGGGAAAATGTAGACATTCAAAAAGCTTCGCAAAGACCTTAAAAAATTTTCGAAAGGTTTCGAGGGAATTCCGCAAAATCCTGTAAGAAAATAAAAAAGCTTAAAATCAACCAAAATACCCGAAAAGCTCCAAAATGTTTAAAAAAATTCCAAAACTTTCGAAGTATCCAAAAAAAGACAAAACGAAAAAATACAGAAAAGTTAAAATAAAATCTCAGAAGATTTGAAAAGAGAAAACCTAAAAAATCCCGAAAAACAATAAAAAATCATCAACAAGACTCGAAAACTTGTGAGAAGTCCCAAAGAAACCGCAAAATCTCGAAAAACTTTCGAAAAGTCGAAAAAATAATAAGGGAAATTAAAATGTGAAATAATACAAAAATATTCCGATAGCTAAAATGCGAGGAATCCAAAAAGTGCCGAAAGTTCTTGTAAATATTCCGAAAAGAAAATTACGAGACTTTCCTTAAAGTCCAGAAAACTCTGAAAAATCTCAAAAAAGTCAAAGGAAAATATTGAAAGGATTCTTGATTTCTCTAAAAATGTGTGTCTTCAAAAAGCCAAACTTATTCCGCGTTTCTTGCTCAGAATAATGAAAGTCAAGTTTTTTCACGAGGAGAACGCAGGGTACAATAGCAAAGGATTCTCAAGATATTTTCGAAAATGCAGTACGACTATTTTTTCCAATGCATTTTTGATTTCTTCAAATAAACTATATTTATATTTAGTCTCTGTACAGAACACTAAATGTTTTTTTTTTACTTTATTATACACGGCACGGTCTAAGTTTTTGTCCATTGGGACCACCCTGTATATAACATTATCGAAAATACGTTCTTGATTTAGCATAAAAAAAAAACTAAAAACACAAATCGAAACCAATTTTTCACTCATTCCCCTTTCGTTTTCCTTTCTCTTTGCAGGAATTGCTCAACACTGCGATATGCGCGCTCCTGTATTTCATTGCCTTCGTAGTGCAATTGGCCAAATGGTCTGGTTATCCGAGTACATGGGCTTATGGTTCGAATATTGCGGCCGGAGTTTTTGGTTGTTTCAACTTTTTGGCCTACGCTGCTGGCGCATATTTTCTGTATTTGACGCATAAGAGCGGCGCAAATTATTAGACGAGTCAAAAGAGTGAAATTAAAAAAAAAAAAACACAAGAGCAACAACAAAGAAAATAAAAGAAATAACTTTACAAATATTTTTTCAAAAAAATGTGCAAAACAAAAGAAACTAGTAGCTCACCTCATAAACTTATGCCACCATACCACCAAAAGCACTGAGCACAATCCATACATAAAACAGCAACAACAATTAGAGGCATATTTACAACAATGCGACAACACTTACAAATGCCGTTTTGTGTTTGTTTTTGCGTAAATGAAACTCACTGTTGTAATTAGTCAAAATGTAAAAAAAAAAAATTAGAACAAAAAAAAAATTAGCTTTTAACATTTTTATTGGTAGTGTACTGCAATTCGATGTTCAGTGAAAATTTAATTTTAGCAATGCAAAATAAAAAAAAAATACTTTACAATTTGTAGTCTTAAATGTAAATTACATAAAATTTTTTTAATATTTATTAACTACGCTGCCTTGTGTAAACTTACCGCATTCTTTGTATGGCAAATAAATTTCACAAAAAAAAACATATCAACGAAATTTAGATAAAAACTTGACTGTTCACATACTTTAATATTTTCTACTTTTATATATTTTCCTGTAAACTTGAATTTGCTCAGCATATAGTTTTTATAGTCAAAATAAATAAATTTTTTTGTGAAAGCTCGTTAAAGTCACAGTCTGTCAAAATGAGTTAAGTGTTTTTGTCAAAAGACTACAGATAAGCATTTTGCACATCCACAAAATTGTGAGGTGACACACTCAAAATTTGTCATCCTTACCTTTCAGCAAAAGCTCGAACAAAATTTTCTTGAAACAATTTTCTTGAAAAAATCTAAGTAAAGTCCCCTTGTTCATATGATTAATATGTGATACGATTAATTTTGAGTTGTGTCACCTTTGCATTGAATGTGCGATATGTATGTATGTATAAATGAGTCAAATAGAGTATGAAAATAATAACTAGTATTTTGCATTTTTTTTTAACAAAAATGGAAGTTTATATATTTTTTTTTAACACGGCTACTCTGTGCGGTAAATATTCTAATTATGAAATAATTATTAAAAAATAATATATACATATTTATAATAGAAATAACCGCAATTTTATTGTATGTTTCATTATTTGTAAGAACAAAATATCAGAGATGTTTTAATTAATAAAGTTACGTTTTAATATAAAAATAGTTTTTATGAAGTTTATTGTTGAGTGGGCACTAGATATGTATGGCTCTTACCGTTATAAAATTTAGTCGGCGTGGATCTCTCTAAGATACATATTTTCAAAAATACCCGCACCCCATCGGAATAATAAATACATCCTTTTTACTGTTGAAATTCGACCGTTTTTCTAGTTTTTGAAAGAGACGCGAAAAAAATTCCACTGTTTGATCACCAGAAAAATTACCTCTGCCTGGAGTGTTGTTTTTCAGCCGCGTAATTGCTATTCGTATCTCGTCATAGTCAGGCGGTGGAACAACGACTCCGTCATCATTGACTGGAGGCTCAGGTTCGTCTTGTCCATTAGTATGGGGGAAAAGTGTTCCCTTCATATTTAATTACGTTCTGGACGTCGGTCTCTAGATTGCCATTGTTGTTCTTACAGGAGTTCGCCCCGGTCTTACAACATTCAGTCGTCCAATGCTTTTTTTAATTTTTTCGGGCGTTTTTCCTGTCTTCCAGCATTTCAAGCTCTTCGCACTCACGTACGGCTTCTCTCTTCTTATTGCGGCAAATACGTCTCGCCATGGATAATATGATACGAAATTTTTTTTTTTCGTGAGAGCGCTGTCGAAAAGTTAATTTTTCATAACATCTTCTAACAGAGCCACTGCTAGGAAATACATGTAGGGGTATTACTTAAGAAATTTTTGGAGATTTCCTTTTATTAAGTAAAACACTCGAAAATTAAAAAATTTAAATACCTGCTTTGGGCTTGCGTGTTATACAATTCTTAATAACGAGTAAAAGTATTTTTACTTATAAACACTGTACTAAAAGCGGTGCATTTTAAACTTGACTAGTGGTAGGTGTTCATCGTCCTCTGAATTCTCTGTGCTGCAAAGTCGTAAAACCAGTTTAGAGGCATTCTCAGAAGCGAAATGAGAGAGTTACATATCATATTATCCATGGTCTCGCTTCTGTCTTCAGTGTCCTATAGCGGTCCCACATAGCTCGCGTTGCGCCCGATCACGGCGTGGTCCTATAAATAGGCGGTATCTATTTTCTCAGTAGCTTCTCAGTAGCTTTAAGGCTGCGTTTCACCAAACCCATTTAAGAAGAAATTTATTCGAATTAAATTTTTATATAACTTTCAATTAAATTTTTTTCAGTTTCAAAAAGCCCTTTTATTTGAGTGAGTAAAAATATGGCAGCACCGTGCTAAAAGTGGTAGTAAAAGCAGGATTGGTATACAAGCAAACAGTTGATACACAATATGGTGGTATTCGTATATTAGGGTGGTCCAAAAACAGTAAAGTCAGAATTGCAATGCTCTCACCCCCTAGGATTTTTCTAGCTCGAAAAAAGTATACCCCTATTTTATATTTGGAAATCAAAAAAAATTTAGAGGTCGCTGAAAGTGCTCAAAGTTTTCCATGTATTTTTATATGGGGAAAAAACAACTTTTCGTAGGAATGGTATAGAATTCTCGAAAATTTATATTTTTCGATCGGAAAACTCTGGTTCTCTTCAGGAGACTTTCAATAATAATACCCAATTGTTTATTTAACCATTTATTATTATTATTTTCACGTGCATTTTTGAACCACCCTAGTGTATATTGATCTGCTGATTAAACGTGTAACAACTCTGAGTGTGATTCTTCTGATTTAATTTTTATTTAAGTGAAGAGCATAGGTCACTTAAATTAAATTAAATTTGATTGGTGAAACGCAGCCTAAATACCTATATGATCTGAAAATGGTTTTTTGAAGTTATTCAACAATATCTACTTCAATTGCTCTTCTGAAATTCGGCCTAAGAGTTTAATTAAAAAGTTTGAAATTTTTAACTTAGCCTATTGCATTTCTTTCAATATTACACAAAATTTTAAACCTGGATGTATACGGTATTAGCTCAAGAATAAACTACATTTAAAAAAAATAACTAAAAATAAAATTAAAATTATTTGTTAAAACTTGACCTATGTATATGCAGTTAAAGTATGTCCTGATTTGTAAATGTTCATGCATACGCCAAGCGGAAATTACACCGGCAGAAATAATTGAATTAGGTTCGAATTTTCACCAACAGAGAGCGCCCTAATTGCGTCCAAGAGTGCATGTCTCTGCTTGTCAAGCAACAAATGTTGCTAGAATTCATGTTGCCAAGAGAAAATGTTGATTTAAATGGACAGAGTATATAAACATATTTACATACATACAAATGTATGTACATATTTTTAAAGATGCATAGGTACGCTGACCATCCGTTTTTTTAACCAACTGCCCTGGTAATTTATTTATTTTATACGGGATGCCAAATGTCTGTATTTCTTTTAATGTCCTGTATTTGTTCCGTATTTGGTGTTCGGTATTTCGACGCCTAACAGCTCATTAAAATGACATGCCTATGAACCAGTTTAAAAAGTTATTATTTTCTAATCTGAATGCCCGTGGTTTGAATTGAGCAACATATGCAGTGACGAAAATATAAATTAGGACTCGACATTTCAGCAAGGTTTTTGGCTATTTTTAACCGACTTCTAAAAAAGGAGGAGGTTATCAATTCGTCGGAATATTTTTTACTTTATTTTATTTCTTTTTTCTATACTAATCTTGTTTAGGTCCGATCATTGGATTATGAAATATATACATATATATATATTTTTATATGAGAATTGAAGTCGGGTTTGTTTTTGCTAAACATTATTTGTTCTTTTGTTTATTTAATGTTTATTATTTTGGTATGAAGGTAAAGCTCATTTCCTAACAAAAACCATATAAATCCAGGTTTCAGACATTGTGCAAAACTATGAAAATTCTGCACCACCAAAATTTAAAACCTTTTAATCAGAATCTTCAGAGAAAATTTTGGTTTTCAGTTTTTAGCTCATTAAAATTGAGTATAATAAAGTGCAAGTGCAAGGTGTTGCTCATTTGCTTCCCTATTAAAGAATTCTCGAACGTATCTACTAACTTTTTATAAAAAATGCGTAACACAAAAATGCCAAAAATTAACGGTAAATCCTAGCTACTTCTAACTAAATTATATTAAACTTTAACGAATTTTTTGTAACAAATTTTACGGGTTAAAACTCTCGAGAAAAATATCCTACAAATTTTTGAGGTTACTATAAGGATGCTGTATCAGGGCTCACTGAAGAAGGTTTTAAGTTCTGTTAGCATTTGTGGAAAAGAGTTGCAAAATTACTTTTTGCCCCGTATTCGGCTCCGATAAATATGGTCACCGTATGTTTGGGTGATTCCCATGATTCAATAATAAATAGGGATGGCAAAAAAATCGATTTATTAATCATACGATTAATCACAAGCCAAAAAAATTAATTGCAATTAATTGTAATTATTGAGAAACAATCGATTTATCGAATTTTTAAAGGCACTTTTTTTACAGTGAGTATTCAAAAAAATATTTTTCCATAAAAAATTTCTAATTCTCTTGTTAATTAGCCTTCAATAAAATAAAACGAGTATTTTTAGCGCCGATAATTATTTATTATTTAGCTATCCTCGCAAAACCGAAAGTTTCGATAAGCGGTTTGTTGTTAAGCGGTTGCGTTTCTCGGTGGCTGTAGCATGAACTTTTGAAAAAGGCGCTCAGTAGACACCGATCTGATTGACAGTATTTTTTTAAAAGTCTGTAAAGTTTTGGGTAAACAGTTTTCATTTCCTCCCAAGTGTCGATGATATTCCGCTTTAGTTCTAGGACTTAACCATTAACAAGAAATTTATGAGGGGCCCAAATATGTTTTCATAAGATCATCTGCGCACATTATTTCATTTCGCAAGATTTTTTTTTGAACCTTGAGTCGAGTAAAGTTGACGTAGCTAGCAAAACAGGAATGTTCGATGGAGCCAAATCTTCGGTCAAACTGTTTCAACCATTTTTGGGCGAAAGTATTTTTCTGTAGATGAGGAGAGTTTTATGGTTTCACAATTGGTTGAAAATGACGGCCGAAATCGTCGTTTTTGATAATTTTCGCATATGTATGTAGTTGTTGTTGCAAACTGCTCAATTTGAGTTGTTTTCGCATTTTGTATATGTATTTCTTATTTGAAATTAAACTTTATAATAAAGATAAATGTGATGTTGAAGAAATAAATGATAATGATTAAGACAAAAGAGGGAAGGCAAAATCAAAGATTAAGACGAAAATGAGAAATACATAAGATTTAG